CCACCGATACCAATTTAAAAACAGTTGTGGATTTTTTTTTAACCCCCCATTCACACAAAGAATTGCAACCATCTAAAAGACTCAGGCCTGCTCTTCCATGTTTAAAATGGAAGTTGGTTTTCTGAGATACTTCTTGGTTTTTTGAAATTATGAAAAGAGACTCCATACCTGAAGCCTTGGGATGAATGGCTTGTGCAGTTTTATATATATATAAAAATATATAGCAATAGGCATCATCTACTGTATAGACATATTTGAAAATTCTGTTTTTGGTTTTCCCTTTTTAGGAATTTATAAATATTAGCATTATCTTACTCATTGAAAAGATATTCTCAGAGCATGGAATGTGCCCAAACAAGCTAAAGAGATGAAACCCACGCACTGTTTGCATCAGCAGAGTGGGATTCTAAATTCATCTCAGTTTGAGCACGAGCCTAGTCATTCATCTGCTATGAATGACTAACTGGGCATCTTCAAATTTTATTTATTTTTACCTAGAAATAGGGATTCTGCTAACCTTGTGTAACTCAAATGATCCTGATGATTAAGACCAGAGACATAAAGTGTCTTATACAAGCTATAAAGTTCTACACAGCATTATATGGTGTCATTGATAACCGGGGGCCAGTGATGGGCACATTGTAAAGCATGTAGGTGCAGTTGCATGAGGACTGAACTTTAGCACCACATGTATTATATTAAGTACAGACAGGTATAAATGCATGATTAACACAAATGGAAGCAAAAGTTTACTTGCCTAAATGTGATACTTTCCAGTCATTCAGACATTCATAATGGAGGAGTGCATAACTTAGTTGCTGACTGAATGAGAAAAAGGGCAAAATTTGGTTGAGGGAGGATATAGTATAGAGGACCCTTCTGAAGGGAAAGCATGAACCCTGGAGGAGGAAAAAGAGGAGACAGACAACTAGTGAAGGGCTGGGGGGAAAGCTCTTTGAATTAAGAGATGAGGGTCCTAGACCTGAGGGAAATTTGTACATCTTATATTAAAAGCTCACAACATTTGGGGGAGAATGGAACCCATAGTGCTTTATTGATCTCACCACTCCAAGAAGACTATTTCCTCTCACAGGCCAATGGTACAGACCCTGGCTCAGATTTGCAGGAATTTCTGGCCCTAGATGGGCTTTTGAACTAATTGTCAAGTTCTACTAAGTAACCACAGTGTCCGGTATGGAAGTCTCCAGCCTGAAGATTTCTGTACGGGTGTTGACTGGCAGCTTCACTGGAGCAAAGGGTTTTGACTGTAGAAAATTGGAATTCATGAGTTCCTTTCTTCACTTTTGTGTTTATTGTGGTTACTGTTCATTTGCTTTATTTGAGCCCTTGAACCCTAGGACTCTGATATGCAGTAATGACATCTGCTGAGCTCCAGAGAGACCCTGCTTGCAAGTTTATGCCAGGGAAGTCCATCTATAGTTGGAGATGAGTATCAGAAAATAGTACTTAATTAAAATGATCAATTACAACGAGCAGAGACTTATTTAATAAATATTAAAAGACTGACTCAATGAATGAGTTTATGACTCTGGAACTAGCAAAATTATAAAAACACAATTCCCCACTGAAGAAGTAATAAATAGAACTCATTACTAGGAGAATGAAATGTTGCCTCTCTGAGGATTTAGATTTTTCAGTGGCATTTTTAGCATCTATGGCCCTATTAAACCCTGTTATTTTCTTCCCAATTTGTGCCATTTAGGAATGATTTTCATTTAACTTTCCCGTGGCTCATTTCTCTCCTTCAGAATTTCCATACGATTCCTTGATAAAGTCCATGCTTTAACAACTTCCATTAAAAAACTGTAATAAGCACCAACTAAATAGCAATATGATATAGCCAGAACATAAAGGACTGAAAGGAGAAGAAATTGGCCAGCTGGGTAGTTAGTTTTTATTCTTGAATGCCTGCTGCACTTTTTGCCTCTTGTGGTTGTTTTCAATCCTCTAGATAAGATTCCATGCCTAATGGACAAGGACTCTAAGGAGACAGTTCTCACAATTCTTAAGGAACAGCCTTTCTTTCCCATAACAAAATCATCAAGCAGCACCTTTTGATGACATAGTGATTGCTATTCTTCACCCCAGCCCCATAATGGAAAGAAAAGGTTTTTATTTTTTGCTCCTTCCTACTGTCCTTTGGGCTTTGTAAAATACCCCTTACATGTTCTATTTAGTGGGCCTATGTTCTCTAGAGAATTGTGTGAGAGTCATTTAGCAACCTGGGCCCCTTTCAATTCACCCAGTACTTATTGAACCCACTCAGTCCCCCATGTCTTGTGAAATACAGACATGGAAACTTTGTTTCTGCCTGCCTAAGACTCAAGAGTTTTTTGAGTAGTCACCTACACAAACGCTTCTTGTCCAGGTCTGACTTTGGTTAGGACTAGAAGCATCCTTAGGTGTGAAAAGTACAAATTGTGTTTCTCTGAGCTTACTTTCTCACTTTTATTTAAAGTGAGAAGTAGACTTATTATATAAAGTGAAAAGGAGACATTAAGACCAAGATGAGAAAAAGAGCTAAAGTAGTGTGAAAAATAGGAAACACTTAGAAAAAGAGTCAGGTGATGACTTTATTAAATTTGTCTGCTCCTCCAGCAAAACACAATGAGGTTCTAACCACCAGCACTGTCCCAGCCCCTGTACATGATGTTATAATCTGGCAACAAGTCTCTTAAAACTGAGACTGTCACTGAGTACCAAAAACATGTCAACTAGGGGTCATAGGAAAAGCCTTGTGGAAGTGATGGGGTTTACTTGGGCTTTGAAGGAAGGATAGGGATTTATCAGCTAGAAGTGACAGTATGAGCAATATTAAAATAGCATACACATATGGGGGAAAAATCAAGTAAATCCATGTGAATCTTTTTTAAGAGGTACTATTTTTTTTACTCATTAGTTAAAAGGGTGGGTCAACATCTTCCTGCAAAGATACGCTCCCTATCTTCCAACAGCTTTTCATTGAGGTTAGCTACTCTGCTTAGCTGTAGATTGCAAAGCATAAAGAGTAAAAATAGTAAATCAAATATACAACCAGACATTCAAATGTTTATATCAGAGCAACGTGCAACTACACAGGTTTTCATTTTTCTAGTTGTCTTTGGGCTTTATGTAGGAGGTAGGGTAGAAATGTAAACTCTGCTTAGTATTGATAGCTTTAGAAAAATAAGTCCCTCTCAGGATATTCCATCCATTTGCTCTCAAATTCATGCATGAGGTATGGGAAAATACTTTGTTAATTAATATTTCCATCTACCCCTGGTTTGTACAAAGTGCTTTGGCAGACTTTCATGTATCTCATATGAAAGCCAAAGAAAGAGCTTTATTTAAATTGTTACATATTGAAAAGTTTACAGAACAAGCCCACAAATTCAGTGCAGTCTTCATTTTTGTGGTAGAGTGGAGTTGGCTAAACCCTCAGCTGTCATCAGCTCACTTTCCAGGTGTCTGTTCCATTGGGGTCCTGTCTTTCATTTTGATAGATTTTTCTCTTACCTCTACCATGCCAGGAGTTGGGCAGGCTTTTCTCCCTTACAAGTTATTTATTACCTCCTTATTCTAATGTAGGTTCTGCTTCCAAACCTTTCGTTTCATTCTTGGCAGCATTCACAGCATGAAATGTGCTGCTTTTATTACTTAATTCCTTACTTTCCTACACCTACTTCCACTTTTATTTTCCCATCTCCTTTCATTTTGCCTTCACATATTTTTCACTTTGTGGTTTTCCTTTTCCTTGTGTGCTCTACATGAGAGAACCAGAACCCCACAGTTAAAAATAGTTTCTGACATTATTTGTGATTCCTAAGATGTAGTCTCACAAATAACCTTTTCTCATTTGATTTCCATCTAACATGCTGACAGTGCTCCAATCTTGTTTTCTGATTATCCCATTACATAGTGCTTTCCCTCTCATTTAGTGGAAACTTGCAAGTAATGGTTCTGTTTGGATAGCGCTGCCTAGTCATCATTTACAATTTTGTGGAATTAGAAAGGCAGTGGGAGAAAAGAACTCAAGCTTAAGTTCTTACTTAAAAGGAAAAGCATTAATTAACTATTTTGGTTATAGGTTGACTCCGTCTTCATCAGCATGCTAAACTAGAGCCATCTTTGTGATCTAGAGTAACCTATCATGCAATGAAACATCTTCTTACTGAGAGTGCTGTGCTCTATATTGAGTAATGCATTTTAAATTCTGTCTTAAAAAGGCAGGCAAACTCAATTGACTACCCAATGGGATACAGTTTCAGGGAAAAAAATCATCACAAACAAGTGCATAGGAAGTAACCTAAGAATTCATTTACTGTAATCATTGTTTTTACCATAAAATTGTAAATATTCACAGTCAGTAATCAGTCATGCCCAGCCTCTAACAGTCTAGTAGTGTTTGTCGTGTGTGTGTGTGTGTGTGTGTGTCTGTGTTATAGCTATGCTCTGAAAACATCCTACAAATAGCTGAATTCATATAAAGCCACAATACCCAGGAGGCTAAATGATTGCCTGTTAGCATTGATCATTTGGGGGCATAAAAAGAAATTTCCTGTGCAAATACCACTTTTCTTATGCATTCTAAGGACCTCTTATATTCAAGAGTAAATTTTCCTTATATATATTTGTTTCAATTGACATCTTAAAGTACATCTGAAAATACAGTATGCCATATAATTGAGAGCTGGACCATCTAATAGATGCTGTGTGAGGTCTTTCGGGAAATGAAATGGTAATGGAATTCCTATTCTCAGTGGTAGGAAATGACTGTCCTTTGTTTATGTCTTAGTTGATTTCCCCTGTATGTTTCTTTAGGCAAGTCAGTAATTTCAGAGAAGCCAAATACATCTTGCTTTTTGGGAGTGTAATTTGGCTGTTTTAGCCAGAGTATAGTTCTTGGGTTATGTTCAACAGGCATTACTAAAAGATAGGCTCTTTTTATATAACTTGTAGAGTTCCACATAATTTTTTTTTTCCTTTCCTGTTCTTGACAGGTGCATGAGGCAGTCCCATGCTACAGTGAATGCAATCAGTATTCCTGGATTGTAGAACACTGGTCTCCATGCAAAATCCACAATGAGCTGAGGTCTCTGCGCTGCGGAGAAGGAATGCAATCTAGGAAAATCAGGTGTGTGGAAATGGAGACATTTGGGAAATGGGGCAGAGGAACGTATACCTTTTTATTAAAAAACAGTGTTTATCCAAGTGCACTCTAATTTTCATACTACATACTCTGGCTTTTGCTCATCATTAAGTTTGTATAGAAGTATATGTGCCTTAACTGCCATGTGTACAGTGGGATTTCCTCTGCAGTGTAGTCACAATCCCTACCGTTCCCTGCAAATGACTTCAGTGGGAAAGCTAACTGCATGGAGCAGGCTAGCTAGCATCCCTTCACTGATCCACAGCCATAACTGTTAACAAATCGGGAGATTTTGGCTGTGATACCATGTCTCTTTTTTGGTCTATGGGTAGTGTAGTTGATAGACATTATCCTTTTTTTATTTTTTATTTTATTATGTTAATCACCATACATTAATTACATCATTAGTTTTTGATGTAGTGTTCCATGATTCATTGTTTGTGCATAACACCCAGTGCTCCATGCAGAACGTGCCCTCTTTAATACCCATCACCAGGCTAACCCATCCCCCCACCCCCTCCCCTCTAGAACCCTCAGCCTGTTTCTCAGAGTCCATAGTCTCTCATGGTTTGTCTACCCCTCCGATTTCCCCCCCTTCATTTAGTTTTGAATGTCAGTACATTGAAAAGGTCAATTTAAACCCTCACTATTGGTCTTGGAAACTACAGTCTGAGAATACTTATGAACTATAGTGATGAATTTTAATATAAAAAGAGCACACCTCTGAAAGAATTTAGTGAATTCTGGGTTATTTACGGAGAGATCTTGTTTAAAGTTTTTGTTTTGTAAATACAGCAGTATAAGCAAAGGAAACACTTGGTCTGAGTTTGTCAAAATGGCCTATTTAAGAATGATTTGGAAAGAATGAATTTCTTTACCAACTGAGGATATGGTAATAAATGTTAGACTGAACAAGCGAAAACTAAAATATTAATGATAAACAATGATTAGTATGTAAAATCAAGAAGAAAATATAGTTTAGTCAACTATTCGATTGCATGAGCAGAGAGTATCATTTTGTGAGATTTAGGAAGCTCCATTTCAAATGGACAGACAGTTCTCAAATCCTATAACTCCTTGTTGAGTTAACTGTGAGATTGAAGTCAGTTGCTAAGGCAGACTCTACTTATATATGTTGATTGTTATTCATTATCAGTGAACTTACTTTATTCAGTAATTCAGTATATACCCACCATTTCTGAGACTTAATCCCAGTGTTGCAAAATCACTGGTAGCCGTGTTGGAAGAAGTAGCTATTGGTGAAACGGTCATCAAGCCAAGCAAATGGCTAATAGACGAATTGTCTTTCTTTCATTTTGTTAGTTCCCCTTTCCTCTGGGGACTAGTGTGTTCATGCTGTCACAGACTTTTTTCTCTTCAAAATCTATGTCTCCACTGTCTTGTTCTCATGGTTTTGAGAAATGACTGATCAACCTAGCTTATTAAGTAACAAGCAGATGAGCTGTGATACCTCCCACTCGCATCCCAGCCAGGCCTCTTAGCAGTACTAGAGCAAAATCTCAGGAGAGAAAGGAAGGCTTTAAGAGAATAAATTGCTACCGACAGAATTATGGCAGGCTGACGGAGGAAAAACATACTTAAGAAGGTCTTTAAGCAATACTTCTCAGCTCAAACTTACAGAGCTTGATATAATACAAATACCACAGCTACTGAATACCACTCTGTTATGAGGTGAATTGCATTCCCCAAAAATCTATGTATTATAGTCCTAAACTTCAGTACCTCAAAACAAGGCTATATTTGAAGATAGGCTCTTTAAAGAGGTAATTAATGTTAATGAGGTCTTTGGGATGGGCCCTAATCCAATCTGATTCATGTCCTTATAAAAAGAGGAGATTAGGACACACACACACACAGGGAAGAGCTTGTAAAGACACAGGGAGTGTAATCATCAAGACAGTATGGTACTGGCACAAAAAGAGACACATAGATCAATGGAACAGAATAGAGAACCCAGAAATGGGCCCTCAACTCTATGGTCAAATAATCTTCGACAAAGCAGGAAAGAATGTCCAATGGAAAAAGGACAGTCTCTTCAATAAACGGTGCTGGGAAAACTGGACAGCCACATGCAGAAGAATGAAACTGGACAATTTTCTTACACCATACACAAAGATAAACTCGAAACAGATGAAAGACCTAAATGTGAGACAGGAATCCATCAAAATCCTAGAGGAGAACACAGGCAGCAACCTCTTCGACCTCGGCGGCAGCAACTTCTTGCTAGACGTGTCTCTAAAGGCAAGGGAACAAGAGGAAACAAGAACTTTTGGGACTTCATCAAGATAAAAAGCTTCTGCACAGCAAAGGAAACAGTCAGCAAAACCAAAAGGCAACCTACAGAATGGGAGAAGATATTTGCAAATGACATATCAGATAGAGGGCTGGTATCTGAGAGTTCATAAAGAACTTACTGAACTCAACAGCCAAAAAAGAAATAATCTAGTCAAGAAATGGGCAGAAGACATGAACAGACATTTCTCCAAAGAAGACCTACAAATGGCCAACAGACACATGAAGAAATGTTCCATGTCATTCGGCATCAGGGAAATACAAATCAAAACCACAATGAAATACCACCCCACTCTAGTCAGAATAGCTAAAATTAACAAGTCAGGAAACAACAAATGTTGGTAAGGATGCCGAGAAAGGGGAACCCTCTTAAACTGTGGGTGGGAATGCAAGCTGGTACAGCCACTCTGGAAAACAGTATGGAGGTTCCTCAAGAAGTTAAAAATAGAGCTACCCTATGACCCAGCAATTTTACTACTAGGTATTTACCCCAAAGATACAAATGTAGTGATCCAAAGGGGCACATGCACCCCAATGTTTATAGCAGCCATGACCACAATAGCCAAACTGTGGAAAGAGCTGAGATGTCCATCGACAGATGAATGGCTAAAGAAGATGTGATATATGTATATATATAATATATATATATGATGGAATATTACTCAGCCGTCAGAAAGGATGAATAGTTACTATTTACATCAACGTGGATAAAACTGGAGTGTATTATGCTGAGCAAAATAAGTCAATCAGAGAAAGACAATTACCATATGGTTTCACTCATGTGGAATATAAGAAACAGTGTGGAGGACCATAGGGGAAGGGAGGGAAAACTGAATGGCAAGTCATTAGAGAAGGAGAAAAACCATGAGACTCTTAACCAGAGGAAACAAACTGAGGGTTGCTGGAGGGAAGGTGGATGGGTAATTGGGTGATGGGCTTTAAGGAGGGCGTGTGATGTGATGAGCACTGGGTGTTATACACAACTGATGAATTATTGAACATTACATGTGAAACTAATGATGTACTATATGTTGGCTAATTGAATTTAAATGAAAAATAAAAAAATAAAGATACAGTTCATCAGCCATCTACAAGCCAAGGAGAGAGGTCTCAGCAGAAACCAACCCTTCCAGTACCTTGATCTCAGACTTGGAGCCTCAAGAACTGTGAGAAAATAATTTCCTATTGTTTAAGGAAACTAGTCTGTGATATTTTGTTGTGGCAGATTTTGTTGTGTGCTTTATGTGTATGATCACATTTAAATATGTGAAGCAGATTTTCTGGGTATCTTGCATTCCAAACCATTATTGACCTTAATAAGACACTGTTATAATGAATAAAATAGCTTATCCTTCTCTTTCTTGAAACTTCCAAACTGGGGGACATCTTCATGGTTCATCTTGGATTGCAATAATTTATTAATTCAAAAAATATTCTATGTATCAGGCAGTCTAGGCAGTGGGGATAAAAGAAAAAACAAAATTTCTATCCTCAAATAACTTACAGTGGCAGAGAAAAAGATAAACACATAAATATAATGGAATGTCTTTGCTGGGAAATGCCAAGAAGAAAATAAAATTCGGTTGGAGTGATGGGGGATACTCTTTTGGAGAGGTTGGCCAGCAAAATATCCAAGCAGACATCTGAATAAAATGAGAGACCTGGATGAATATAAAGATCTAAAGAAAGCAATCCCAGGGAGAAAGAGTTTCCAAAGTAGTAATCATCTTGGCTTGTTATAACAAGATGAATAGCAAGGTGTCCCGTATGGCTGGTGCCAGTACTCAAATCATACAATCTTCTAAAACAAAGTAAAAGGATTTTTTTCTAACTGCAAATGGAAGCCATGAAATGTTTGAGACAGAGGAAATGACATAGTCTTATTTACATTTGAAAGGACTTGTTGGATGCAGAGAAGGTGTTTGGGGGGGTATATAAATAGAAACAGGGATGAAGGTTTCAAAGACATTCCAGAATTCCTGGTGGGAGACACTGATGGTTGGGCTGGGCTTGGTAATAATGAAGGTGGTGAGAAGGTCACATTTGCACTGTATTTGGAAGGTACAGACCGCAGGATTTATTTATAAAGTGATTGTAGAATGTGGAAGAAAGAAAGCATCAAAGATGACTGCTAGGTTTTAGTGCCTAACAATCATAGGAATGATGGTGCCATTTGTTGAGATGAGGAATATTAGAAGCAAGTTTGAGAGAGAAAAATCAAAAGCTAGCTTGTGAACACATTAAATTTGCCTTCCAACTGTGACAATACAGACTAGAGTTCAGAAAGAGACAGTGGTATAAATTTGGGCATCAACAGCTTATACATTTGATATATATTGATAAGAAAAGACAAGAAATTGAGCCCTGGGGAACTCCGGTATTCATAGATAGAGAAAGCTCTACAAATGAGACTGAGAAAGAGCTGTTGGAGAATGAGGAAAACCAAGAAAATGGGAAAGCAAGAGGGTTTTTCAAGAAAAAGAGAGCAATCAGTTGTTTCAAATGGGTCTCAGAAATTTACTAAGATGACAATTGACCATTGAGTTTGGCAATAGGAAGTCTGTTAATGATCCAGATAAGAGGTTTCTCTGAAATGGTAATAAAAGTGTGATTAAATGAAATTCAAGAGATAGTCATGAAGGAAGTTGGGGATGGGGGGCGGGAAGGCTGCAGGAATAGCAAATACGCTTCAAAACAGTTTTGCCCTGAGTTTTGAGTAGGAATGAGGTGACGACTGAAGATATGAGATGGAAATTGATAATGCAGGATATGTAATTCCAGGGGCATTTTCATTTGGGAACATCTTCAATTCAGTCTTTTTAAGTCTTTACTCTTGGGCTTGTCAGAACCCCCAGAAAAGTCTTTTCATAAATTACGCGTGAAATCGATAATCCTAGCGGCCAGTGTTTTGGCTGATGTGGTAAACAGAATTGTGGCCCCCCAGAGATGTCCACATTCTAATCCCTGAAATCTGTGAATCTGTTACCTTCTATAGCAAAAAGGACTTTGCAGATGTGATTAGGTTAGGATGTTGAGCCAGGAAGATATTCATGGATTGTCTCCACAGGGACAACTTATTCACAAGGGTTCTTAAATGTGAAGGGGAAATGGGAGAGAAAGAGGAAAATGTGACCACAGATGCAAGGCACAGAGAGATGCAAGGCTGTTGGTTTTGAAGATGGAGGAGAAAGGGGCCATGCCCAGGTAATGTGGGTAGCCCTTGGAATCTGGAAAGAGCTAAGGAAGTGGTCTCTCCTCTAGAGCCTCCAGAAAGGAATCCAGCTCTACCAAAGCATTGATGTTAGCTTAGTGAGATCCATGTTGGATTTCTATACTACAGAATTGTAAGATAGTAATTTTCATTTTTTAAACCACTAGGTTTGTGATAATTCTTCCAGTGTATTAACTTGTACTTAAACCCTTGTTTTCAATATGATATTCTCATCCTTAAGTGAGCCATGTGTTCTCTAGCCCAGAGACTGTCTCTTTTTGTGGCCCATTCCAGATAATAAACCTTCAGTTACCTGCAGGGGGGTGGGGAGGGGCCATCACCTAGCCCTGTGGATTGTGGGAGGTCTGAGGGCCCAGGTACTTCTTAAACATACTTTCAGTAAATCTTCCAGTTTTTCAGCCTCACCTTCATCCACATTTCCAGAGGTACTTGGTGCCCCAAGCTCCTGAATTTTTTATGTTTTCTGTGGTGTAAATGGAGCTACTTTCTTTGTTTTTCCTTGAAGTCTTAGTATTTCAGCTTTCTTGGTATGGTAAGTGAGTTACCTCTAGTTCATCTGTTTTCCATTTGTTTTCTTTGTCCTTTCCCATGTTCTTTGTCCTTGTAGGGTAATGCCTTTCCTCCCATCTTGGGTTTTTGAGTTTTCTTTGTTTGTGGGTTTTTTGTGGGTTTTTTTGGTAACAAATTCCTTTACGATCGTTTTTGTGGCATATTAGGAGTGAACAAAGACTAATGTGTACATTCAACTGGACACCACTGACCAGAAGTCTTATCTCTTCTTTCTCGGTGAAATAATAAAAGAACATCAGCAGAGAGTATGCAGGCAAGAAGGAAAGCAATTTCCAGCTTTTAAGTTTGTCTGTAACAAGACACACAAGCTTTTTTGTGGTCCCTCCTTCCACTATTGACTATTACCACAAAAGAAATTAAAGTCCATAGATGGCTCTATACCAGGCCTCCCTGTATTAGAAGACATTCCTTACCTCTTCTACCTTCCGGTGTTAACCTTGTTTATACAATGTACAGTTTTTCATTACTTGGCACCTCATAAAGCTTACTTTCTATTGTACAAGGTAATAGACCACTTTGCAATTTTCCTGAATTAAAAAAAAATTATATGTATAAAAGAAACTCCTAATGTATAGGATAACTCATTCTAGCCTAGCATGATTTGGGGGGCACCAAAAGCTCTCCATCGTATCGGTCTTAAAATGCTTACTCCTTGGCTGTGGCATTGTGTCCCAAGTGATCAGATCAGCAAATGGCACCACTTATCTCGCTGTCATCATTTTCACCTTCACTTTGATTATTATCACTTGAAGAAAAGTGTTACAACAATAGGGATCTTATCTCTCTCTCTCTCTCTCTCTTTTTTTTTTTTTTTTAGTCTGTACCCCAGCAACCAGGCAAGGGCCTGGTACACAGTCCTCAAAAATATTTACTAAATGAATTATTATTAATAAATACTAAGTGTGTTTCCCATGCCTAGCAAAAGAGGTTTGCATGTAGCTAGTCTTTCTTAAATATTTTTTAAAAAATAATTCAAACATAAAATTCTAATTGAGATTTAATATAAATACAGAGAAATGCCCACTCAGGGTATAGTTGAATGAATTTTCACAACAGGGGCACGACTGTGTAACCAGCTCAGAGGCCAAGAAACAAAATATTACCAGGACTACCTTAAGCCCCTAGTAGTAAGTAACCATTCCCCCAAAGGTAACCACTACTCTGACTTCTGACAGCATAGATGATATTGCCTATTTATTTCTGTGAATGAAATCATACAGCATATTCTTTGGTGTCTAGCTTCTTTTGTGCAGCATTCAATTTTTGAGCTTCACCCACGTTCCATCATGTAATAGTAGTTCATGCATTCCCATCATTTACCACAATATATTTATCTATTGACCTTGTTGTTGAACAGTTGGACTATTTATAGTTTGGATGATTATGAGTAGTGCTAATATGAATATTTTCTGTCAGTTTTTTTTTTTTTCTTTTTTGGTGCACATTTCTTTTGTGTATGTATATAGACATAGAATTGTTGGGTCATATGATATGTATATGTTGCCCTTTAGTAGATACTGCCAACTAGTTTTCCAAAGAATATTATGCTCCAGCCAGCAGAGTAAGAAGAGTTACAGTTGTTGCCTGTTCTTGCCAACCCTTGATATTTTCCGTATTTTTTATTGAAGCCATTCTGGTGGATATATAATGGTATAACACTTTGGTTTTGATTTGATTGAATCAATAGCATGATTATTTATCTTGCCTTGGCCAGCACTTATCTCAAAGCCCGATACAGATTAGGCCAAGCATCTGTATACTGTGTGTTCAAATGCCACATGAAAATGCTTACATATTACCTTTTGGCTTATGATACCAAAATTCCTTACTGAAATGCAGAAAATACCTGAGAGAAAAACATGTTTAATTATGTTTCACATTACTTGGCTATGACCTTAAATGTGTTGGACAGAGATTAGGAAAGTTTGGTTGATGTGACATAGAAGTGTAGGAAAGGTCTCAGAGAGTCACAGGAACTAGGAAGGCTCTCGCTATTACAAAGTGATGAACTCATTCAGAGAAGAAGAGCCTTCAAGATTTGTTACAGTAAAAAGAAAATCCACTCTGTGCTGGACCCGAGTAAAAATAGAGTAGGGCTCTCGAGATGGAGAGTTCTTTCAGAATGGCAGTGGACCTCAGTCTTCCCATTTTTCTCTCCTGCTCTGCTAACTGAAGGGTTATCACTCAGTAAAGGTCAACAGGCTGAAGAAGGAACTTTTTTCCCCTTGATTTCTCTGCTGGTCTATTTTATGTTTAATTATCTTCGAGGGGTAACTATGGTATAGCATAACTACTTTACATTTACTCTCCACTCTTTTTAAGTCTCCACTGTTTTATCCTTGTTCTTGCCTTGCAGATGTGTGAATACTGCTGATAGTGAAGGGGGAGCCGTGGATAACAGCCTGTGCAGCCAGGATGAAATTCCCCCAGAGACCCAGTCGTGCTCTCTTCTGTGTCCCAGTGAATGTGTCATGTCCGAGTGGGGGCCTTGGCACACATGCCCACAGGTAATTTCTCCTCCCTTGTCAATACCCTAATCCTCCAGCGCTGCCTTCACTGTTGGCTACAATATATTCACAGTACTTGCTCTCCAAAACATTCTTCTAGTAACACAAGAACATAATTTTACCCAAGAAGGAAGGAAAAAAAATTTAGCAAGCGAGACTGAGCAATTTAAAATGGCAGTGTTTCTCTTAAGGCCTTTATCATGGGAACACGGACAAGGAAAATGAGCCTATAATGATCATACTGGGATTCGAATGCACACCCATTGTTAAAGGGGTCTTCTTGAGTACCAAAATGATTCTCATTATAATCTCTTGGTTCTGTTCCAATTTTATCCTGGCAGAATCAATTATATCTTAGTAGCTCAACTCTACTGTGTAATTTAGCTTCTGTGCGTGATGATCTGTTTTTGCCTTTTGCTGTTTTCCCCAAAGATGAGGTGTTCTTTTGTCATGTTCTTCTTCCAAAGCTGACCAAAAAAACCCCAAAAAACCCTTTTTAAAAATCTAAAGCATTTGCCTTTATTTTTTTTCTTTAAAAAAAAAAGGAAACATAACATGACTATGGAAAAATAAATATTCCTCAAATAGAATGGTTCCACTTAATATTCTCAGAAGCTAAACTCTGATAGTTTAGACTTTTATTTTGGCTTAAAGAGCTAAAAAAGAAAATGAGGATAAGGATTATGTTATATGGCTTCAAACATTAGGAAGGGAGACTTAGGTTTACTCTGAATTCAGTGGTGATACAATTTGTGGGAAGATTGTGTAAAATCTTTGTATAGAAATGGAAGATATTTTTGAGATCAGTTAATACTCTGTATTTGGAGTTTTGAATTATTGATTCATCATTAATTTTTGCAACCTTATCTTTGACATTTCCATAATTCTATTCCTGAAAGAGATTTCCCTTTGTTGTTATTTTTTCTTTGTTGTTTTTTGGGGGGCTAGGACAACACAATATTAAGATGAAGAGGTATTAATTAAGGCTGATTTGTGGGCATGGAATGTTGGTTCTGCTTATTTTGTGTGTAACTAAATATAAGAAAAGTTAACATTTATTGAGCACTTACTGTGTGCAAGGCACATGTAAAATTTTTCTCTTTAGTACCCATAACAATCCTATTAAGTACATACTATTATCAGTCCCATTGTACAGATGGAGAAGCTGATTCTCAGGAAAGCTAAGTAGCTTGCACTGAATAAGTGATGCAGCTGGGCTAAACTTTATACTATCTGATGAAGCCAAAGCCTTTGCTCTTACGTCCTTGGCTTCCTTACCTTGGATGAATTAAAGTGGATTTAGACCCATACTTTCCCTTCTTTAAGATGCAGCATTTATTTTAAGAATAAAGCAAGTTACTGGTCTGTATGATTATTCTATGACCACACTTTAGAAAATGTGGCAGCATACATTATTAATCAACTTGCAGAATTAGCATTCTGAGTAAGTTAAATTAAATGTAGAGGTCATGATCTTACTCACTTTGCTTTTTTTTTGGTAATTTGCTCATAATAAACTCCATTAAGCTGTAAGAACTTTACAATGAAAATGTTGCCCTTTTAAGTCAAGGATTCTGGCCACTGAGCTAAAATGTCTGTTACAGGAGCATTTTATACAATGTTATAATGGCCTGGCATTCTGTGTTTATTTCTTTGGGTTTCTAAGAGGCAATTTCCTTCAAGGTTTACTTTTCCAAACATAATTAAACTATTTTTGGAGCATTTAGAAATTGGAGATAGAAAAAACATTTCAGCCTCCTTTCATATGTCTGGAAGATGACATAGGCAGTTACTTGTCAGGGTGAAGTGAGAGGGTTGTTCTGTCAACTGCTTATGCACCTGCTAAGTTACATTATCATCATCATCATCATCATAGCTATGACGACAGTAATAACTTTCATTGAGCACATCTTATGTAATAAGCACTGTGCTGGAATTTTCTAACACTGTGCTATGATGATAGACATTTATCCAGTCTCAGGTCTATTCGACCACAATGGCCTAGCTCTTTCTCATATGCCATGATGCTCTCAAGTGTAAATAAGGACTTTAAAATGGAAAAAAAAAATAGTAATCAGGGCTCATACCTGATTATTTTCCCCATCTCTTAAATATGTTACATAATTTTAATAAATTGCAACATCTTAGCATAATGCCCCAACATCATAGGTGCTTAAGCAGTACTTGACAATGATCATGATCATGATTATAGCGAAGTTAGCAATCTGGGTCTTTGTGCCTGAAGTTTAATTAGCACTTCAATGTACATTTTCGGAGCAGAATAAAACAATTATTGTGTAATTGTTCTCTGTAGCATGTTCTGATTCATGGATCTAAATATTGGCCATTATTTTACCAAATTCTCCTTTGATAGTCTGCAGTGTGACATGTGTCAATAGGACCAATTCACTATGTTTCTCTTTCATCTTTTTCTTCCCATGGCACTTCTTCAGAGTCAAACACATAACCAAACAAACAATGTCCACCCTACTCCCCGACCAAAAAACAATCTCAGGATATTTCTGAGACTAAAATATGTTTCTCTTATATATCTATAAAGTATTCTGAAATTTATATTTTGATTTAGCTATAAAAATCTATATTTAATGTGAAATAAACTTAATGTATTTTAAACATAGTAAAGTAAGTAGATTTGCCAGTTAATTAAAAGAAACTTAGCAAAACCAATTAATCAAGTAAAACTATTGTCTTGAATTCCCAGTAGGTATCCTAGACTTTGAGGCCAAACATATATGACAGACCATCACTGCTACCAAGGAATCGTAGCCCTCAGCATCTTTAGAAGTGCATACTGTGTATGGATAGCAAAGAATTCAATAACTGAGTAGCAGTGTTTATCACTTCATACAACGTTTACTAATAAAGTGGTAGACAATATGTAAAATGATTAAGTATACTTCCTAACCTCCGAGTCAGTGACTCTCACAGTAGCAGACATAAGAAGCATCTAGAAAGTGTGTTAACACACAGCAGCTCTGCCCCGTCTCAGAGATTCTGATTCAGCACATCTGGGTGGGGCCCATGAGTTGGCATTTAGAAAATTGCCAGGTAATGCTGATTCTGCTATTCTGGGAACAACTTTGAGTCATAAGGCTGTCGGCCATTACATTCAAGCCATGTTTTTTCTCAGCCTCACTTGAATCACAACTTTTTGTTGAATATTGAGTAAACATTAGTATTAACTGGTTACTTAGCTTATATTTGCAGATGCTTTCCATGTGCCAGACAATGTGGTTAGTACTTTATATTTATTTTCCTACTTAATCTGCAAAATGCCCCTACAAAATAGATACTATTATCCCCCAATGTATAGATGAGTAAAATGAGTCTCAGGTTAGTAATGTGCTGCTTTTAAAGAGCTAGTAAAAAGCACAGTGACTGCTTAAGCCCATGTAATCCGTACATAACCCCTAACCACTACAGAAGAAGCAGAATCCGTGCTACCTGTCCTAGAGAATATGCTAACTGGTAAAATCTCTTGTCTCCTTTTCTGGTTTACTTTGGCTATTTTATTTGTGAAGGAAGATACTTCTAAATTCCATAATCTACTTCATTTGAATAGTTTGCCAAGGGGGGAAAAGAAAAGGAGCCACAAAAAAGCATGTGATCTAATGCCCAGGAACCCTTGCTGCTGTGGGACTGTGGACAAGTTACTTAAACCTCTGAGTTACAGGTTCCTCATCAGGAAAATAAGAACAATGATCATTGTTTTTCCAGATTATTTAGAAATTAGAGATAATGCGTATAAAGTGAACAGCACAGAGTATTACCTAATACAGGTTTGTTTAAAAAAAAGGAAAAAGAAGCAGATCAAAGCTCCCCTTGCCTTGTTTACAGTGTGGTTGGGAAACCTAAGACAAGTTGCTCTATATTTTCTAAGTTATGCAGGAAATATCCCTTCTTTCGCACAAAATGGGTTACTATAGGATATTACAGAAATAAAATGTCACCTCCTTTGCTGAAAAATGACTTATGCCTAATTTGATAGCAGTCCCAAAAAATAAGGCATCAGAAAGATAACTTCAAATGAATGGGTCCCTGACCTTAAAGTGACTGCTAATTGCAAACCATACCAAAGAGCAAACAAGACAAAGCCATTAAAAATTGAGTTGGGATCATTTTAACTGTATTGGCAAGAACTGGAGACTATAAATGGATGAAGCAAAACAAACACATTTAAAGGCAGAATTTGAAGAAAATGGAAAACTATGTGTTTCACTTATTTTTATGTTCTTGTTTTTTCATGTTCCCACAATGTGTGCGTGTGCACGCGCGCACACACACACACACACACCCCCCTCATTATTTTTTTACTCCAATATGCTCACTTCTGTGGAATGCTTTAATGGGAAAGGAAGTTTATGGAATTATACATTTAAAAACCTTTGCAATAGTGTTCACTCTTTAAAGGTATATATAAATACACATGTGTATGTGTACATACACATGACAAGTACATTTATATAATAGTTAATTGTTTATTACCAAGTATTTATCTTTTGTCTATCTAATCTTATTTCCCATTTTAATCCTTATTCTTCATATTATGCTGATGAGTATTATTCATAGAATCATCTATTCTTCAAGAGAGGTTTATAAATTTCTAAATTCAGAAACTGCTCAGCCCTTGACATATCTAAAAGAATATATTAGTTCTCTTCATGTATGCTGCCAATCCTTACAGAAATTTGCCATTGAGTAATACAGATTTTCTATTTCTGACTCTCCTTGGAAGCTCAACAAAGGAATTTCTTAAACAATAATGTTGATAGGAGAAAGCAAAGAGGGTCCTGGAGGTGAATTTCCAAACTGATGTATACTTTACAGAAAGTATGCAAAGCTTTTGCAAACCCTCTCCAGAAAGATGACCTAAGTTTGGCAAACCTACTTGAACTTTAATTGATTCACTTCCAGCTGAACACCAAAAGCTGGTTAGAGCTATAGCCAGGCATCCTCTTACACTGTAGGAA